GGGGTTATATGTAGATCATTGTGATTGGTGTCCCCTTTCTCCCCCACCTAGCCCTTCCCCTCCTGGTATCTCTACTCTCATTATTGGTCCTGAGGGGTTTATCTGTCCTGGATTCCCTGTGTTTCCAGCTCTGAAAGGTGAGCATCATGGAATGCCAGTTTAATTGAAAAAAGTGTTCTTGAATTGAGGGAGCACTTGAGTAGAGGCCCAATGTCCATCTGCTACCTTAGTACTAAACCTATAAATATATGCTCATAGATTTATTTCCTTATCATCATTTACATATGTACATGTTTAGGCCACTTCTTGAGAAATTACAAATGCAATCTTTTTTCCACTCTTGTAAACATTTGTTTTGCATTGTCTTCATAAAAATTTGTTGAGCTCAGCCCTTTACAGTCAATAAGCCACTATTTTATTTTAATATTAAAAACGTGTTTCCAAAAAAATTATCATCATAAAATGATAAAGTTAAGTATGTATAAGTCTGCTTCCCTCAGCTAAGAGGTGTCTACTGTCTCAGAGACAATACCAATTCCTTGTGTTTGTTAGTAGATGTCATTATGTACTGGTAAATATCTAAGTAAAATAATATTATTAAACTAAATCCCAATTATACATTTGTTTGTGGTATATGTGAAGAAATATAACACCCGGTTCACCTTATTAGAACACTTAGAACACTAAAATATAATTATAAAACAATAAATAGATGGTAACCTAGGCTGGACTAGCTTCGTGGGCAGCACACTTAGAAAATGGGCGTGTGCACCCAAGTGTGCCTACATTTCTCTGGTGACAAGTATTCACTTGGCAAATGAAATTGTGATTGGCCTTGAGCAGGGTACATCAGTAAGCTGTTGCTCAGGGTTAGTGAACGTGTCAAATGTGAAGCAAAGCATGACAGCACTGAAGACACACGGGACACATATCCCTGACAAGGGACATTGATAAAGAAGAAATCACACCACCACAAGAAATAAGACCATGAGCACTTAGTTTCCGTATCTCAATTGCGAAACTATCACTCATAAAGTAAGTTGAGTCCATTTCCAAATGGAGTTTATGCTTGAGTAAAACCAGAGACATAGTTTTAAATAGTTTTGTTCATCCTTCATTAAGCAAGTATTCAATTATTTTCTCAGTCTCAGGACACAGCACTAGGTTGTAAGTTCTAGTTATAACCCTTACCTTGATGGAGCTTGTAAGTTAGAAATATTAGTAGACAAGTAAATTAAGATATGATAACGCAAAAAATATATGTGATAATGCATGCAGGGCTAAAGAGTAATGTAGACATGTCTAGAAGCAACATTGTGTACTGTTTAGGCAGCATAGGGTAATGCTGAAGAACATGGATTCCGGGATGAAAATGTCTGCTGTTCAGAATCCTGACTCTGCTGCTCACTCGCTATAGGCTTGAGGCAAGTTACTTCGCTTTTATGGCTTCTGTTTCCTCACCTGTAACATACGGTTAAAGACAGTATTTACCTTCTAGGATCCCTTTTTATAGAAAAATGTTTTAATTTTTATAAAATAGCTAGTAAGTGCTAGAGTATTTGTTAACAAACTGAGTGAAATCAAGCCTAGATTCGGGACATCTGTAAAACTTTTCTGAAGTAATAAATTGTGATCTGAGGGAGCCAGCAAGGAGAAAGTATGTTTTTCCCACAGGCATTTTCCACGTGTCTTGAACTTTGAATCATGATAGGGGGTATTTAAAATGCAATTAGGGATAAAAGTAGGGCTAGAACATGAGTAATTATAGAAGTCAAGTAGTGCGTGTTTTTCCTTATACAGAGGTCATTCGAGGAGCCCTGACATCGTGGGTTACACATTGAGTTGCTAACCGAAAGGTCAGCCATCTGACCCCACCAGCCACTCCCTGGGAGAAGAGCGACATTTTCTCCTTCTGTAAAAAGGTACAACCAAAAAGTGGGTGAAGGGAGACATCAGACAGTGCAAGATATGACAAAATACCCATTTATAAACTATCAAGGGCTCATGAGGGATGGGGGAGTGGGGAGGGAGGGGAAAAATGAGGACCTAATGTCGGGGGTTTGAGTGGAGAGAAAATTTTTTGAGAAACGATGTACAAATGCGCTTTACACAATTGATGTGTGTATGGATTGGGATGACAGTTGTATGAGCCCCTAATAAAATGTTAAAAAAAAAAAGGTACAGTCTTAAAAACAGTCCAGGAGTAATTCTACTTGGTCCTACTCACTCGGAGTCAGAATAAATTTTTGTTTTATTTGGTTTTGGTTGAGGGATAATTCAAATACAATGTAGATCTTAAACATGATTGGCATGTTCACATTTGCATCTTTGAAAAGTCTGTCTTGCTGAAAGATGGAGAATTAATGTAAGTAAGTGTGACCAGAATCAGTGAGGTCAGTGAGGAGGTGACTGTGGCCTGTATCAGGGTGATGCCCGTATGGGTCGGAAGGATATTTAGGAGGTACTGGTGATCGACAGTTTGTATGGGAAGAAAGAGGAAAGATTCAAGGATGATTACTATCCCACCTCTTGATTAGGCAGTTGGGTGACAAGTAGTGTTATTCACTAAAACCAAGACCACTGGAGAAATAAAGTTGAGGTGGAGGAAGATTATGTGTTCAGTTTTGGGCATGCTGATACTGAGGTAGACAGCTGTCACACATACACCCCTGTGTGGAGAACGTTTATGCCTCTCTGTGTGTAACTGAAGCTTATGAAATCTAAGCTGGAGATATTGACTTTGGACTTGGGGATTTATCAGGATACATATGGTGATGGGAGTACTAAGACAACAACAAAAGACTATCAAGTCCACCAAAGCTAGATGATGCCCTGCTACCACTACCAGCTACTCCTGAAAGGGTAGCACGGAAGTCCTGGATCAAATGGAAGAAAACTGTGGAACAAAACTCAAAATCATGAAAGAGACCAGGCTTACTGGTTGAACAGAAATAGATGGGACCCTCTAGACCAGCGGTTTTCAACTTGTGGGTTGTGACCCCTTTGGGGTGGAACAACTCTTTCACAGCGGTCGCTCGATTCATAACAGTAGCAAAATTACAATTATGCAGTAGCAATGAAAATAATTTTATGGTTGGGAGGTCACCACAACATGAGGTGCTATTAAAAGGGCATGGCATTGGGAAGGTTGAGAACCACTGTTCTAGACATATCCAGACCCATGTTCATCATGGCACTGCTGACTGTGGACCATAGCAAGAAGATGGAACCCTAAATGCTCATCCATAGAAAACGAATAAAGAAAATTTGGTTCATATACCCAATAGAATAATGTACACCACTAACCATCACCACTGACACCGTGAAGCCCCTCATAGCATGGATTGACAGGAGGAATATTATGCTGAGTCAAACTAGTCAACACACACAAAAAGGTACGTATTGTATGAGACCACATTGATAAAGAGGAAAGGCAAGGGAATGACTTTCATGCCCAAAGGAACCGAGTATGGAGGTTACCAAATGGGGGAGGGCAAGTGAGGGAAGAAGAAACAATTGGCTAGAGGACTGGGCACTAACCTGGGTAGAGAGGAAGATAGTAATCCACAAGAGGAAGAAGAGAAGAGAAACCAAAATTGTAGATGGTGTAAGTTATTGGGAGGCTTAATAAGTAATTTCAACTGTTAAACAGAAATGTAACGATCTGCAATATAAAAATTCCACCAAATTCACCATTTTTCAGAAATATTTACTAGATCAATGGAGCCCGGATTGGTGGTGGACTGGAAGTACAAAGAAAGATGGAGATCTATACTTATAAATATTCTCATGTGATATTTTCCCCATGCTCATGGTTACATCTATACAATGTTATTTTAGGTATTGTGGAGTCGGATCCCACTCACAGAGCCCCCAGTTATACCAGGAGAAAGCCCTGTCCAGTATTGCACCATCTTCATAACTGGTTATTCTTGACCCCATTGCTGCAGCCTTGTCAGTTCACCTGGGGAAGGTCTTCCTCTTCTTCACGGACCTTCTCCTGCACCAAGCACAATCTCCTTTCCTAGATATCG